TTGCAAATTGAAATAGCCAATAGCAATCTAGCTATTCATTTCTATGTTGTTTTTAAAAAAATTATTATTATTCTGACGGCAGGTGTCAGAATAAAACATAAAAACAGCAGATAGCAAGGCAAGCATTTTGCTGTCATTATTTGCTAAATCATCTAAACACATAACCAACATAAGTTGCATAGAATATATTACTGAGTGACATTCATGGCTCTCTGCACAGAGATGATCGAGAAGTGAGCGAGCGACAGTATGTGTTCGCTCACTTCCCGATCTATTGAGCAGACGTGACATTTGCTCGGACTATGAGGCTGAGAGATTTTCACTCGCCTCATAGTTCTCCTGTAAGTCCTTTCTTTCTTTATAGACATCAAATCAGCAAGATTTAGCTGCAGCAAGTAGACCAGAGAGTATCAAAGACTGAAAGCACAAAGAACAAAATATCAAATGTAGAGGGAGCCGGCCATAGTAGGAGAGGAGAGAAAGAATTTCTAGTGCAACTGACAAATTGTTGCATCTTGTAACAGACTGAATCAGTAGCAGTGATGATGTAACAGAGCAGCTGCAGATGGTGGCATTGGTAAAGGTGGTTGATTATAAGCAATGAAGCAGGTAATAAAAGTGAAGGGGGGAGAGAGAGAGAACATTTACAGATGATGGCATTGGGTAACAGGACAATTATGTCTTTTTTTTTTTTTTACCACTGAGGGTATTGGTTAGTGGCAAGTGACAATATAGTGACAGGACTGTTCTGGATCTGCTCTCTGGCATCAAGGATAGGCTGCAGAAAGTCACATCTTACTCAGCCTTCATTTATTTTGATGAATGCCAACATTTTAACATTTGTGGGACTCATTATGATGCATTTTTCTGTGACAATGTTACCCGATACACTAAATACATTCTGGGAAAAGATACTAAAAGGCGATTGAGAAGGAGCCTGTACAGCTACTGTATCTGGGTGGTTTGCACTATTGGTACAGACTGCAGATAATAGTCCATAGGGATATTAGCTGTGTTTTCATTGACAAGGAGTCAAAAGTGGTGACCATTCTGTCCAATGTTTTGAAAGAACGGGCATTCCAAAGATTATTTTGAAAATACGGGTCATTATCAAGACCGCAAGGCAAGAATTATGGGGCATTAGAGTAAAGTGTTTGTTTGAAAGTATACTATAATGTGTGGAATGTCCTGTCACCTACACCATTAAATGCACTGTGTGGCCTGCTCTATGCGGGCCATATTTCAGGTCAAGCAAACATATGATCTACAGCCCAATTCAAGTCTTTTAAACTGCACCCATCACTTTATGTTGCACCAAATTAACAACATTTTAGTGTCATATCAGTGCAAGAATGTCCCAATGCCAATATTATTATACAGGATTCATATAGCACCAACAGTTTGCACAGCGCTTTACAATACAAGGAAGAGATTACAATTAAAGATGGTAAGGAGGGCCCTGCCCGTGAGAACTTACAATCTAAAACCCTGTCCCCCACCAATAGCTTGCAGTTAAGGACTGCTACCCTCTTTGTTAGAGCAGCAGTCCGAAATGAACGGTCAGACTATTGGCTCTTCAATCAGCAAAGCTCATGCTCCCTGTTGACTACAGAGCTATTGGGTCTGAAGCAATATTGCATTGGGGAACAGACTGTATTAGTGGCAGTAGAGTATTCTTACCATGATAGGACAGGAAAATCCCTAAAAATCGGTTAGTTTGCTGCACCCTGAAAAGATAGGTGCAATTTGGGCAGAGAAAGCAAGTAACTATTGATATCAAATAAGCAAACGACCTTATCTGCATACAAGGACAAAAGTACTAAAGCCATTTTCTCAGTACAGGTTTCCTTCTTCTTATAGAAGACATTTTTCCATCATTATTTGAGAGGCTTGTATGACAGGAAAAAAAATCCACAGAAATCTTTGTTAGAAAACAAAATTTTATTTACATGAACGGTAAAATAAAAGGGTTATTAAGAGCCGGCCATGCCAATATTGTACAATATACAACTCACTCTGGTCATTCAGACACATTTGAGCATTACATTGATCATCTCATTTGTTAAGCCACTTACAGTCAGAAACTTTAATTCATGAAATCACAGCATTTAAGTCACTGAGCTCAATAAGCATCATTATTCATACATTCACAGAACACAAAGCTCTTCACAAATCAGTCATTTATTTTACACTACATTACATAGCTGGCCTCCTTAAAGACCTTTATGAAAGACCCACTGCAATCAAATTCTTCTGTTTAGAGCACATTAGAAAAGTCATGGAGAACCTAGAAGATAGTCAACACAAACTTTGGGAACAAACTTTATTGGGGAGGGGGGGGGGACAACAGACATCTGCAGTATTGGCCATGCCCTTGGGAGGACAGACACTAAAGGGCTCATTCACACTTTTCTGCATTCATAGCATTGTGTTTTTTTTTTTTAACATAGTTGCTTCTGCCCATTTGTTTCCTTTGGGTCATTCCCAATGCTTTGCAACACAGTGCATGTGTTTTTAGGTTTGTGCATTGGGATGTGTTAAAGGGCCAGATGTGTTGTATACCAAGTCGCTGTGTGTTGCAGGCCCATTATAAATACACAGGCTCACACACAATGCAATGGTGCAATGCATGGCCACAAGCATGTGTCAACATGCACACAGAGGTGTAAAGCCACTCTAAATAAAAAAAATCCAAGACAGGTTACAGTTCCTACCAGAAAACTCCTGAAGTCTTAACAGCTGCTCCTTCTAGACTGGACTAGCCATAATGTCTATCTTGTATAGCTCTCCTGATGTGCCACACTGGATCTCAAGATCCAGGGATAGACTGTGGAGAAACCCTGCCAGGATGTCTGCTGTATAGAGCCTACTATAGTGGTGAGTGGCTTATGCTCCCTCTAGGTAGCTGTTCTTGAGGACTGCTGTGCCAACTTTCTAACTCTTATTCCCAACTCCTTTGTTATTCCTCTATTCTTTCTCTTATGTGCCCAGTGTCTAAGCAACAGAGTTATCCTTCACATTGAGAGCATGTGCATAGCCATTACTTCCCTACCAGCACAAACACATAGCAGACCCCTTACCTGTGCTAGGTCAAGCTCAAACTGTTCATTAGTATGATGCCTGTAAAGCCTGGCTTGCCATCAAACACTCTCTGCCTCATGGCCAGACAATAAGTCCTAGATAAAGCCAGCTGAACTATACATGTATGGTTTATTTGGTTTACCTGTGGCACACCCGCATGGGCCTTAGCACTTACATGGGGGGGGTCATATTGTTGGTTACTGAGCAATTAAGCGTACCAGTGTGAAGGCTTTCAAGATGTCCGCAAAGGAGTCCTTGACAACCTGCCTGATTTCCAAAGGTAGCATAGTAATGAACAGGTGCGACCGCCCTGTGACACAAGAGCAATAGCTGCCCTGGTTTATATGTAAATTGAAGGTGCATAAAAGCACAAGTCTTAAAATGTCTTCATTTTGTTTATTTAATTAGTCTGCAGAACTGTCTCAACATTTAGGATCCAGGCAGCAGGCTGATGAAGACTGCTCTTTGTGTGAGAACAGCAGCCCGTCACGCCCCCTCCAGGGATCCTGAATTTTGGGCTGCTGCATAATTACATATCATGCAAAAAGTAAGACATTTAAAACTTTGTCTAATTGCATTAATATGAAAATACAGCAGAACATCAGACAGGATTTAAAAAAAATGCATATGTACTGACAGGGAAGTTGCTGAAGAGAAAGCAGAACAATCAGGGGAGCACTCATCACTGCACTACTGCCCCTTCACTGTCCCAATCAGCAGGCTGGGGTTGTATTCTTCATCAGGTTCTGCTGCTGTAATGGAGGTCAAGCACCTAGCTAGGCTTTCTGGCAGTGGTGACCTGGTCACAAAAATGGCAGAATGAAATAACCTCCAAGGACTCATTAACCTGGTAAGAGATTTGAATTGCAACTGTGCATTCAGGAACAATAATAAAAAATATAATATCTGGAGAACATATTTAATAAATTAGACCCCTTATGTTTTGTATGAGATTTTTAGAAATGCCAAATAGTGACCATGTACCTATACTTTGGGTGACTAACAGCAGGTTTGCGGTTGACTTTATCTGGCAATGAAACGCTAACAAAACAAAAAACAATGGAATATCAAGAGATTTCACAAAAATTCAATGCGTTTGTACATACACTATAGAACGCTGATGTGGAGTTTGAGCACCAAATGGCCCAAACTTTTAGATTTGGCCACGAGCGAAGACAAAGATTCACTAGGCCAACTTTGGATTTAATGGCCAAAATCTACTGGCAGACGACCAGCTTAAGTAGCACCCATTTAGTATTCATCTGGACAAGACTGCATATCGTTACTGAAAGATTTAAAAATAATAATCTGTGTAGTCATTAGTAATAAATAACATCCTCCATTTCATCTTATATGCTTCAAAAACATAAAAAGAAGAGTGGCAGCTATGGGCAACACAGTCCGTTAATGGAGATGCCCACTGGGACTTCAAAGGAAGACCATTTAAGTCAATAGTGGTCATTTCAACATAAAGTCTCCAAGTTGATCTACCTTGCTATAATAAATATTTATTCAGTCATTATGCCTACAAAAAGTGAAGGCAACTATTAAAGTGAAACTTTACCCAGATCTTTGAAAGGACAACAAATACACCTTTAGAAATGTTTAGTAATGGCAATCTACAAACACATACTTCTAGATAACGGCCGGCTTTTATAAATGCCTTTCCCCGAGATCTCGTGAGATTACAGATGGTTTCCCAGCAATGCACTGCTGATGTAACCTTCCCAGGATGCAATGGGCACATTGCATCACTAATTCCCCAAGAGGACCTGGAAGTGGAAAAATAATAACTAACTAAAAACATGTTTAATGAATGTAAGATTATTTCATATCAGATGCATGTTGAGGTGAATTTTGGTGAAAGTGGGAAAAGGTCTGCTTTAAGTTAGCCTTACTGATGCAAGCAGTACTGGTAAAGTGTATTTTGATCAACATTGGTTCATTTTCCCAAAATAATTGTTTCCATCTTGTGTGGGCAAAGTTCTGGTGGCTTCCATACCCTCTGCCTCAATGGAATGTACCAACTCGACCAACAAGTCAGATTTATTCAATGTGACTATATTGAAAAACAAGAAACCAAAAACAGAGGATCAATGACGGTGATGAGGGCTCCTGGATTTTGAGCGTGACCTCCTGTTGTAAAAAACAAAAAACAAAAAAAACAAACAGAAGTTTATTTTCAGGGGGAAAAGAGTCTAAACATTTAGCATGCATACATTTTCTTTTCAGCAGAGAACAAAGCTACTGTAATCCTCGCCCAATTAGGAGCCTGTACACAAATCACTGCATCCTCGCTGTAACTGGACTGTTACTAAATGTTTTAGTCACACTGAAGCTGTCGGAAGATATACTTAGATTGGCAATTACCATCACTTGACAGTGGGAAGGAAAGAAGGGAGGGGGGGAAGGAAAGAAAGAAGGGGAAGGAAAGGAAGAAGGGAGGGGGGGAAGGAAAGGAAGAAGGGAGGGGGGAAGGAAGGAAAGAAGGGAGGGAGACAAGAAGGAAGGGAGGAAGGAAAGAAGGTAAATGTCTTCAAAATTAAGATACAGGCTCTAATATTAAATGTCAAATTACCAGCTTCCAGGGAGCAGGCACACGTCAAGGACATTTAAAAACCAGCTTATTCCTTAGCATATTTAACAATCATTTTAGCTTACAGGACAAAATCCTACAATCAGATAAAAGCTTTTAGATCTCTAGATCTACTTTACTAGTCAATTTTTCTCACCTTTTTGAAGAGCTGTGTTCTCGACCTGTATAAAGAAAGAGGGCTGCTGTGTTAGGAAAACTAAGCAATGGCGTGACATAATTTATAAATATAGAGAAATGCACCATAATAAATTAGAAAATCGGGATATTGTTTAAAAAAAAGGGATGTTGAAGGCATTAACTTTAACCAACACATTTTTAACCAAAATAATTTGTCTGCAGTCGGGGGGAGACTAGCACACAAACCCAGTAACTGATAAACTATACCCACCTGTGCGCCAGCAATGTAACATACGCAACCTCCCTTGCTGGCTTCTTTTGGGTTTAGGATTTTTGGCTGTCTTCAGTGGACAGACAGGCATGACATAACTTCAGTGCATACAGATGGTGGTTATTTCATCAGGGCACCCACCGGGCTCAGTATGCTCAGCTCAGTATACAGTGTAAAGAGTTTGCAAAGAGGTAAGACCATAGAATCTATTTCTTGAAGTTCATTGAGAGACACAAGAATTCATAGACTGGTGGGTTATACCGCCACTTACAGAACTGGATGCTGGCAATGCAACACAAACAAAAAAAAAAACAAAATTGTGGGCCAGCCCAGTTCAACGTCTCCTTCTACCAGAATGCCTTAGTTTGTGGGAAAGCATTAACAAAGACACAGAAGGGTGGGACCAGTGTCCCTCAATAAACTCTTTAGTACAAAAATCTCATTTTCTTTCTCATTCATTGAGGAACAAAAGAACTCAAGACTTCGGAATGTCAAATAGCAGTATAACAGATAGTGTTTTGTTGCTGTTGCCCTCCTAACAGGCCCACAAGAAAACAGAACCGGAGACTGCCTGCAGCTCAAAGAGCCACTTAAAAAGGACTTTACCCCTAAAGCTGGCATTAGATAAAGCTTGAACATCCACCTGGAAAACTTGAACAAAAGACCAAGTGGTGGCCCTGCAAATCTGGGAGACAGTAGCCTGAAGCTGAACCTGATCCTTAAGCTAGTCTGTCTGGGCCACCAAGAAAAGTGGAACATGAAGCAGGCTTCCCGTTACATGGAACATCGGGAATATTAAAAGAAAAACATTCTTTCTGAGAGGAGCAGTGGCTGTAAGGTAAATCCATACAGCAGGAACTACATCTAGGCAATGGAGGGAAATCTCCTTCCGATGAACCGGAACCAAACAGAAAAAACAATGTCCTGATTGAGATGAAAAGCCGAAACTACCTTTAATAGGAAGGACGTTATGAACCTCTACCAACTCGTTCTTGTGCAAGACCAGAAAGAGTTCCCTGAAGGATAAGGCTGAAAGCTCACAGAGGCGATACTCGCCTCACGGAGGTGATAGCAAGAAAAGCAACCTGGTGAGTGAGGGTGAAAAGGAGGGATATCACTGATTGGTTCAAAGGACAGTTTTCGAAGAGCCATAAAAAAACAGAATTGCAAAAAGGCCAGAATTTGGCCCATGGAGAGTTTTCTGGAATTAAAGTGTCTGGCCTTTCACCAAGCAAAGAAAGTCTTCCACGTGTGATGGTAGACCTTGTGATAAGTAGACCTCCTAGCTTTAAGGACTGTGGGGATTACCGATTCTGGAAATGGACCAGGGAGGGGGTCTGTAAGCGGAATTCTAGCTTGTAGCCCCTGGTTGTCTGCAAAGGTTAACAGATGTCCCTCCACTTTGGAAAATGAGGGCGCCCTTTAATGATGAATGAATCCTAGGAGTAACAAAAAGAGAATCCTCCAACATGGAGTGAGCTTTCCCAGACTGGGCCCTCGGCTTCTTGTGCTGGGAAAGATGGGTATTCTTGTACCTGGTAATATCCTTGATGAGGGTATCCAGGGTAACTGCAAATAGATGTTGTCCCTTAAAGAGCATGCAGAGCAAGCTGTGGACGTGAGCTCCAGACACTTTGAGCAAGGGGACCACTGACATCGTGAAGTCCTTTCCAATGGCCTTAGCCCAATTACCTAAGGTTTGACAGACTAATGTCACAACCAAGACCAAGTGAGAACAGAGTTTTAAAAAGGGCATCCAGCCTTTTTTAGATGGAGTGCTGCTCAATTAAAATACCATTTATTAAACATATTTGACCATTGAAATTAAAAATGTAAAGTCCATCAAAGCATTCCTATTGTACAGTTTACCTCTGCAAGCCAGTCATTTACCAATAACATGAGACATAGTAATTTAGTACAAAACCCAAAAGTATCAGTCTGCATATAGCTGCCACTATAATAAACTGCATCCAAGTTCTTTTAGGCTTTGTTGTAAAAAAACCCTGTTGTAAAAACACACACGCACACACACCAACTCCAATGGAAAAAACCCTGCTACCTAGAGTCATCGTAATGCTACACTTACTGTGTCTTGGTGAAGATGATCTGCTTCTGGTATAGTGCCTCTCCCACTCGTCACGCTCCCTCTCACGGCGCTCACGCTCTCTGTAGAAAAAGAAATAACAGACCACTTACTATGCTACCAGACACATTTAAAGAAAAGATCATAAATACTTACAACTCCCAATATGCAGGGAGGAGTGGTGTAGTGAAACTGCCCCATAAAAACCCTTAAAAATCCAGCACTTCAAGGAGTGCCAATTTCCTGAACCTCCCATGACCTGCAATGATGTAGGAGAAGGCAGGAGCTACAGAACATAGTGGTGGGAACCAGTAAATAAACAATATAAAAAGTGTGTGATTCTGAAGGGCCTCCATTACAGCAGAGATTGCCTGTGCAGGCAGCAGTAGAGGTGAGTAATTGTGATCATCTCTGCAGGGGAAGCCTTTATTGCAACTTATTTTAGCGACAAAAGGAAAACAAAATTGCAGATAGAAGTTCTTAAATGCTTCTTTGGCTTCAACAATCAGCTGTTTTGTTAACTGTACAAGGGTATTCTTAGGCCCCATTCACACTGAGCGATTTATCGTGCGGTAATTCCCACGATATCGCGGCTATTTACCGCGCGATATCGCTCTCCAATGCATCTCAATGGGGCTCTGTCCTTCGCTGTCCTTATGGGGGCCTTATTGTTTGAGAGATGCTGGACTTTCTCCAATAGCATAAGCGAGTTGCACATTAAAAGTAGCAATGGTTACCATTAAATATAAGACTTATGCTCTCTACCATACTAGTCTGAAGTGGAAAAGAGTGACCAAAATACAGGGGGAAAAAAAAACAAAAAAACTGAACATTATCCGACATTCCACAATGCAGGCAACAAAACGGAACTAGTATATCCCCTACTACTGTTTGTACATTCATATAATACAGCATACTTCACTCACTTCATGCGGATCTTCCGGGCCATGGCTCGCAGCTCATCTTCCCGCTCCTGTGAGAAAGGAATATACGTTTATTAGCACTGAAAAACTGAAACATCTTTAATGCATTCTGAATTGGACTTAAAGCGGAAGTAAAGTTTGTTTTGTTCAAAAGCGCTGACAAGCCGGGCACCCTGCTTTCTAATTGCCCGGGAGGCTGGCTCCATGCTCCCTCGTCATGAGATGACGAGGGAGCATGAAGCCGGCTTCCCGGTTAATCAGAATGCCGGGCACTGCGTCATTACACGGCGCCCGGCTGCCTGATTGGCCAGCTTCCCGACCAATTGGGAAGCCAGGCAGCGCATCATTATCACAAGTGACGAGAGAGCATGAAGCCGCTTCACGGCCAATCAGGAAACTGGGCAGCGTGTAATGACGCGCTGCCCAGCGTCCTGATACAGGAAGTACGTGTGCTAGGCATCGGAGCATTTGGGTGAGTACGAGTACTCACCCAGATACTTGGTATCGGCACCAATATCAATACTAGTATCAGTATCGGTGCATCCCTAATTGCTATGAAATGCAAATTTCCCATAATGTGCTAATATGCTGTGCATGCTAGCCTTACACATAATGGCTCCTGGGGGCCCTTTTTTTTTTTGGACCAATTTACTTCCACTTCAAAAGGGTCCGCCCATCCACATTATATAAATGTTCAGTAAATCCCATCACACTCCTGAAGGGATAAAACCCTGAGATATCAGGTGGGTGCTGAAGCGACCGCAGCTGCCTCTGCAAATCAGTAGATATATAGCAGAAAGTCACTCGCACTCCCAACTTGATTTCTTAGTCAATATTTTATTGACTATAGTCGGGTCTCATTGTAAAGCAACGTTTCGGAACAATGCTCCTTTGTTTGCCTGAAGGGCAAGGTTTAGTTCCGAAACGTCGCTTTACATCGTGACACTACTATAGTCAATAAAATATTGACTAAGAAATCCAAGTTGGAATACGAGTGACTTTCTACTATACATCCACATTATATCTCACCAGTACTGGATACTACCTGTTTTATACCAATTGTGTTTCCTTAAGGGACTTCAGAGTTAAGGTAGAATTTTTAAAATTAACCCCTTGCAGTGGGGCTAATAAAGGGTTTCCTGCAGTTCGTCTTCAAGAATTCTGCAACTGAGTTCCCTGATCTGTTAACCCGCAATGGAAGTAGGAAAGGAGGAATTCAACTGTCCCCATTGGATTTTCTGTATTGTATCATACAACAGAAGGAATTCTAATAATGCCATTCTTGTAGCAGGAAAGATACTCCAAGGGGCCATAAAAAGAGCCAGGTGATCTAATGGGATATCATCATGTAGTCAGTGGATTAATTTGACGAATAGATTTAAACTTAAACCAACATACAACTTTAAGAGGGGCTGATCTTTTGAAGAGATATGTGATCTGGTTGCTCAAGAAGACGTTTGCTAAACTAGAATGTTGAAGTGTTTACGTACTTGGCGGTCATGCTCCTGCTGAATGATTTTCTCTTGAGCTGCCTTTTTATCCGCCTTGTCTAGAAGAAAAAAAAATAAAAAATTACTCACCAGATACACCACACTACATTATATTTAGCTTTACGGTCATTATGTAGGATTAAGGTGGCACTTCTGACACATTGCAGCCTAGACAAACTTCATAATCACTTTCACACTAATATGAGGTGGTCACATGTAAAGAGGCCAATGAAGGGGTCTGTTACATTATAGTCATTTTAGCAGTCAGCAATGTTTCCATGTTCCACCCTTCTATCTTATAGCCGTTTGAGACTTCCCAAAAGATTCTTTGTGCAGTTAGCACATTTTATCATGTTATTTATCAGTAAAAGCCTCTTTTGTGGACATCCAAAATCCCCAAGACTGCTGTTGGGTGCTGTCATCATGGGTGTGATGTCAGCATCCTCAGAGTTGTCACTTAAGTGTCCCCCTCTATAGTCTCCTTTGCTCCTCCCCTGGCAGCTGGGCCAGCAAAGGGAGTCATTTGGCACCCCAAGAAGAGGAATGAGCTATGACAAGTAGGGAGGGGGCGGTGCTAAGGAGCTGACCAATCAAATTTTTCACAAGTTCAATGGCACATTGCAAGTGAAAAGAAAAAGTATGGAAAAGAAAAAGCACGTAAAACGTTACATTTGTCTGCAATTATAAAGATGGTGACAGGGTCTCTTTAAATCACTGTGGGTGCACTATAAGAATCCTCAGATATTAAGGAAGGACAGTTATGTTAAGGCCTCATTTCACACAGCTAAGTGTCGGCCTGTACAGATCCATGCGGCGTGCACGGCCATATCGGGCCGTTCCCTGGAAGGACAGGTGCTGCGTGTGATTGTATGCAGCAGCATGTTCTTCCCTATGGGAGGACGCGGCCGTACTCTCATCCAAACTGGGTGTCCGTGCTCGGACGCAGACAGGATCCATCCTGTCCGAGTATGGACACCCGCACCCATGTGTAGCTTGGGTGAGCGTATGGCCGCGTCCTCACATAGTGAAAAACAGGCTGCTGCATACAATCACACGCAGCACCTGTCCTTCCAGGGAACGGCCCGATACGGCCGTGAACACCGCATGGATCTGTACGGGCCAACACTTGGCTGTGTAAATGAGGCCTTACCCTGACATTCAGAAATAATCCCCGCAGAGACAGTTTGTGTACAGCTAAATAGGAAAATAATGATTTTTTTTGTATTTATAATGATTTGGTATGCATCTCTAAATGTCTGAAGTACCTACATCCCTCTGAACATTATGGTATTAGCTCTTGGATTATAGAAGTAACATTGGCTTACATCAGCTTACCTTAAAATTACTGATCAGTTATTACAAATAAAATAATGCATGAATACATAATACCACCATATTGTTGCCACAATGCCATGTTTCGGTTGTAAATATTTACATATGTTTGCTTGATCATCCTACATTCATCAATGAGAAAATGACAGCTAGTAATAACCATACCAGCTGTTTACAACCGGTCCACTCGCACTAACGAACAGAGATACAGCGTACTGATGTACTGTATTTCCCCTCCTCATCAATTTGCTAATGAACGGGGACTGCAGGGGGCACTGGAGAAGTATATGGTGTCTTGTATTGTTGGAAGCTTCAGATGTTTTTTTCTGATCTTGTCCCTTTAAACCATCCTCATCTCACCATGTGCTTTACATTCTGCTACATGTTTGTACTTACACTGTTTGTTTAGTGCTTTCTGCATGCGGAGTTTTAGCTTCTCTTGTGGTGTTAACTTTGCCTAGAAATAAAAAGAAAAATATGGAGGTCTGAGTAAAGAAAGACCAAATCTTACAATAGAGTAATGTGGACTTGGAAGTCCAGGGGACTGAAGAATGGCTGATGAGAAAACATTTGTCACTTGTAAAGCTTAGAGGAAACAGTAAAAAAAAAAACTAAAAAAAAAACTCTTATGCTGTACGGTTTTATTAGGAAAGCAAGCTCAATACATAATGACTGCACATATTAAACATTGCTAATATAAGGTTTGCACTACATTTATGTCAGATCCCACAGATGTAAATGGTTGTACAGTAAAATAGCCGCAGTTAATTTTGCATGCATAAATCATATGCCTGTCAAATTACTTTCTAGAGACCTGTCCAAACCATATTTCCAGAAACACAACACACACAAAAAGGAGCAGGTTAGGAACACAAAGGCCATTGGAAATGGTACACTCGGGACACTCCAAATGTGAATGGGCCTCAGTCTACCATGTTCCAATGACATTGAAAACTTCAACTTAGAGGTGATTTTCACTAAACGCCACTGCTGTGCTTTATAATACAAAGAATGCATATATTGCCGTAGCTCTAAGCTCTATTACATTCTTTAAAAATCTCATCGACAAGCCACTGTGCACAGGGGTGCAGCACAACGTAGCCTGTGCAATACATGCTCTGCGTGCTATACACAAAACTGCATCCTGCGTCAAATAACAAGGCGGTAAAAAATTCTTACTGACTTTGGATGTTCCACTCTCTTTGCTAACAGCAAGCTCAGGTCTGAGAAAAGAAAGACAAGGAGGTTTCAGGTCACACTGTACAAACCATTCTAAAAATTACATGGTAACAAAGTGGTTTTCATGCCATGCTTTAAAAAGGAAATAAAAGCAATGTTCACCTTTTCAATCGCTCCACCACAGCTGGGGATACCTTCTTTCCTGATACTACTTTCTCTCGAAATGGTGAAGGACTCCTAGACACACTGCTCTGGTTACTTCCATGCAGGCGCCCACTGCTCCTTCCACCACGCCCATGACGGTCAGGTGACCGAGAGCGACTTCTAAACACAATAGCCAAAAGGTCAGACATTAAGGTGCACATACAAAGATTTAAAACAGTGGTCTCAAAGTACCGGCCCCGAGCCGGTACTATGTGGCCCGCAGCCAGCTCACAAGCCAAGCAACAAACAAAGTCAGGTACACAGTCACAGACAGTGTACCCAAATGCGGGAGCACCTACACGGTCTGCATCTCTATTGGATGCAGAACGCATAGCTGCTTCTGTGCCGGCACTCTGATTGATTAGTAAGGTCTGCAGCAGACCTTAGCAATCATTTACCAGGGATTGTGCCTCCTTTACAGCCTCCTCCCTGCAAAAAGGTAAGCAGGAGAGGGGGCTCTGTATTATATTTTACATGTGGGTGTGATATATGTGTGTGTGTGTGTGTGTGCGTATTTTTTTTATTGCGTATGGGGGAGATGGCGGGAGCGGAGTTGTATTAGGCTCCATTCAGTTCTTTATGTTTAGGTGCAATTAGGGATTCCTGTGTCAGGAACTTGCGTTTCCCTGCAGCAGGAATGCCTAATCTGGCGTTTACAAGCAGCAGCTGTCACCTGTTCAAGTTAATGATCAAGTGACAGCAGCTGCATGTAAACGCCTGCACACCACATGTAATTGTTTGTGAAATGATTACAAGCGGTTAGAAAAAAAAAAAAAACTCCGTGGGTGCACAATCCATTGTGCATCCAAGGGGAGTGATTGATTCCTAACCTAATGTAATCATATCATATACCATTGCATGTGGTGTGCAGGCATTTACATGCAGCAGCTGTTGATCATTAACTTGACCGGGTGACAGCTGCTGCTTGCAAACAGCAGATTAGGAATTCCTGCTGCAGGTAAACTGCAGGTAAAACGCAAGTTCCTGATGCACTAATCCCTAATCACGCCTAAACCTACAGATATGAATAGGGCCCTAATGTGTGTGTATTAGTATCCGTAGTACCATACCGGATATAGTTACAGTTAATTTTAACCAGTTGACATCCGCGGTGTTAAACCCCCTTCCCATCCAGGCCATTTTTCAGTATTCAGCGCTGCGGTACTTTAACTGACATTTATTCAGAGCGGCCCCCATGGGAGAAGGTTTTTTTACGAGTGGCACCCAAGTGAATTTGAGAACCCCGATATAAAGTGTATCAAAACCAAAGAACAACAATGTCCTTTATTTAGTTACCAGTCCTTTGATGTGGCGTCTGTATTCACTTTTTTTTTGGCCCCATTATTTTTAACCGGTGATCTACACACTACAACACTTAATTTTGTAGTGTGACAAAGCTTATTCACTTTACTGTACAGTATCTATGGAGGAGCAATGGTGTCCCCCTAGGCCAGGAAGTGTGTTAAAACTATAGAACACCCTCCCCTACCCATAACATGGGGGGCTCTGTAGTACACAGAGAGCAGATAGTATTTCTATTGGATAAAAGAACAGGTAGAAAGCAAGGAAAGCCCACTGGATTTCTGCTGGTATCAACAGGCTTTTTTTTAAAAACTTAATGGCACAAAAATAAAACTATTTCAGTGATGTATTTAGCAGATCAATAGGGAGCTAATAAAAAAGGTTTATATTTAGGGTTTAGTTTAATTATTTTGATGCAGAAAAAAAAATTGCAAGAAAAAACTGCATGACTAACTTCTCTGCTACTCACCGAGACCGACGTCTTCCTCCGTAATGTCGATCACGATCAGGTGATCTTGATCTGGAATATCTTCTGCTGTCTCTTGCCCCTCCTCCACTTGAATATCGTCTTACAGGACTACGAGAATACCGCCTTGAGCGGGAACGTGAATCTGACCTGCGCCTCCGACTGTCTCTCCTGGATTTTGAGCTGGACCGAGACCTGGAAGATGTTCTGGATCTTGAGGAAGAAGAGGACGAGGAAGATGAAGTAGATCTCCGCCTGCAAATTGAAGGAAATGAGGGAACACAAATGTGTCAAAACTCAAACCAATCAAAAAGCAATACCGTCCATGTTAAGACCACCCCGACACAAGCGCAGAGACTACATATATTCCCATTAAGATCACTCAAAGTAATCCTTTCCTTTGCCGGTGTTTATAGTAATACCTGCCAAACATTTTCAACTCACTTGGACATAGTCTATGAAGGCAATTCTGCTCCAGCCTGTCCCTGAGACCCAGTTATTAGACGATACCATCCTGCCTCTCATACAGAACAAAAAAGTCAAATTTGGTCTGCCATCACACCAGCATATTAAAGACCCAATTGGCCTTCCCTTTGCCGTCTTAACTTACTGTTCTCTGTGTAAATCAGCAACCAGGCATACAAGGAGACTGGGGGATAGGCTGTTGACTCAGTAATTATGTTTAATCCACACATTTCGGAGAAAGGAGTAGCAATTACCACTTTTCATTATATTTGAGGGATGGAAAGGTTTACTTTAATAAAAAAAAAAAATCACACCTACGCTATATTTTAATACCATGTCACATGTATTAAAAAGTTATATGAACTGTTTGACATCTACTAAAGGTTGACGAAAAAGGTCACCAGCACTCAAAAGGTTTAAAAATGAATAAGTCCTTTTTATTGGACCATGGTGTCACGACAATCGAAAAAAAAAGCCCTTTTTTTTTTCGATTGTCGTGACACCATGGTCCAATAAAAAGGACTTATTCATTTTTAAACCTTTTGAGTGCTGGTGACCTTTTTCGTCAACTGTTCGTTTTGCACGGTGCCATCCGTGGAGTAACTGCAAGAACCATCCCTGTGTACTGGCCGGGATTGCTGAAAGGTGTGCGGAGAGCACCCTCACCCTACTGCAACTGATATCTACTAAAAACATACTGGGGGAAATTTATCAAAACTGGAGCAGCCAGAATCTGGAGCAGTTGCCCATGGCAACCAATCAGCATCTCTTCAGTTTGCTTAGTTGAAATTTGAAAAATGAGAGATAGAAGGCGATTGGTTGCCATGCAAATCTGCTCCAGATTTTGTCTGCTCCAGTTTTGATAAATCCCCCCCCCCCCCCTGTATAAAGTTTTACCAGTTGCTG